CATTTAGGATAAAAAGCCCTTGTGATACGCGCCTTTATGGCCCAAATTCATCTTTCTTTGAGCTTTTAAAAAAAGAATGTTGGCAGTGTGATCGAGGGGTTATTCTCTGGGCACGAGGAAGAGAAACATTAGAGAGTGCTTGCATCTTCTGATGCTTTCAAAGAGATCACACAAGAGCAAATACAAGGTGAGGGGGTTGCTGGAGGAATCCGTGAGATGGTTTATCTCAGTTTAGAAGATTGTTTCCTCATCACGCTGAGCCTGTTAATATGTATTTTGATTGTTTGGTTTGGGTTTATAGTCGATTACAAGCTGCGATATAATTAAATTCCAAAGGAGAATCCGCAGCACTTACATTTTGATGATTGAGGTTATATGCACATCCAATTATTACTGTTATTTGTAAGGTGCTAAACAATCATTTTTACTGCCTGTAAAAAAAAAAAATATCTGGCTTGACTTTTACACACTGGCATCTTCCAGTACAGAGGAGCGACAGACTAATTCAAACCTCCCTTGACTTTTACCTCACTTCACACATACAGTGGTGTGAAAAAGTGTTGGCCCCCTTCCTGATTTCTTATTTTTTTGCATGTTTGTCACACTTTAATGTTTCAGATCATCAAACTAATTTAAATATTAGTCAAAGATAACACAAGTAAACACAACATGCAGTTTTTAAATGAAGGTTTTTATTATTAAGGGAAAACAAAATCTACAAACTACATGGCCCTGTGTGAAGAAGTGTTTGCCCCCCTGTTCAATTTCTCTAGCCACACCCAGGCCTGATTACTGCCACACCTGTTCGCAATCAAGAAATCTCTTAAATAGGACCTGCCTGACAAAGTGAAGTAGACCAAAAGATCCTCAAAAGCTAGACATCATGCCGAGATCCAAAGAAATTCAGAAACAAATGAGAAAGAAAGTAATTGAGATCTGCATTCCTCCATTATGGTCCAATTATTAAGTATGTTGAAATATATAAACTAATCTATCTTTCTGAAAATTTAAATTGCAATTCTGCACTGTTTGCGGTTCAAATTCCTTTAAAATTAATAAGCATTAAAATCAGAAAGGCATTCTCAATTAAATTCTGAATTGTACATCATTTTAGCATCTATGGGATCTAAAAGCAACCAAAAATTTTCTGTTTGTTATACTATAACATTACAAAATGTAACAGATTGCCACACAAAAAAACTGTGACTTGCCGCTTCTTATGGGGTAAGCATGTTTAGTAAAAAGCATGTGAAATGAAAATACGGTTTTTGGGTTGTTGTAAGCTGAGCTTGAGCGGCCCTGGGCAGCATCGATTGCAGCTGTAGCACGTTACGGAGATGCAGAGGACACAGTTCACTTAAGCCAGGGCGCATGCTTGTAAGAGTTTTGCCAGGGCTCCAAACAAAAAAATTGAGTAAGGAGACATTGGCTCCTATAAGAAACAAACTTAGGCGCCAAATTATTTTTTTAGGTGCCACAGAATAAACATGTTTTATTTATTTTATTATTATTATTTTATTTTTTATTTTTTTTACATTTTAATATTTCAATCATACTGTCATGTGTTTATGTCTCATCTTTTCTTGACTTTATCAGCATTTTAATCCATCTTGTAGATGACCTGGGAACTAAGGTTCACTTAAAATGGGAACTAAATGTCTTTTCCAACTTGAAATATACAGTCACACATTGTTTATTACACAGAATCTGTACCAATATCATGGACCATAAGCATCACTTGGCCACTGAGTGTAGTTTGGGCTCCTCCTTAATGCATCCTGTAAATGTTGTCATACACTCTTAAAAATAAATGTGCTTCACGATGCCATAGAAGAACCTTTTTTGTCTAAATGGTTTCATAAAAGGCTTTAACATCTGAAGAACCTTTCTGTTTTACAAAAGGGTTTTTTTGTGGTAAAAGAAGGTTCTTCAGATTATAAAAAGGTAAGAAAGAGATTTAAATAATCTTTAACTGAATGGTTCTTTGTGGAACCAAAAATGGTTCT